AGTACTATCAAGTCGATTTTGATTCTCAGTGACCCCATGTGATGGAGTAGAATTGCCCATTGACTGTAATCTTTACAGGGGCAGATCAGCAGATCATTCTCCACTGGTGGGTTTGAATTGCCAGTCTATCAGTTACCATCCAAGTGTTCCTTAAGTATTCTGTACCTATAAATTTTTTGTATTTTGTTGTGGTTGGATTAGAAAAAGATGCCACAAGCAAAATGCAGTTGTTGTTAAGTGTTGTCAAGTCTGTTGTGGTGCATAGCCATCCTGAATAGGGTTTCAGAGGCTGTAAATCTTTTTGGAGGCAGAAAGCCTCGTCTTTCTCCTGTGAGTTCTGGTGTGTTCCAACTATCAACCTTGTAGTTTGAAGCCCAGTGCTTATTCTACAGAGCCACCTACTTACATAAACATTTAAACAGTTTCCACTTGGGAGCTATTATAAGCAATATTACTAACTTATGCTTTTCTCTTATATATATATGTCTAGGAAAACCTGGGACATGGAGAAAGAAAATCCTTGACTTGACTCTGTAATGCTAAAATAAAACACTCTTACTTACATTACCAAAAGATTATATTCTTTATAAATCAAGGATCCTTATAAGTCAAAAAGTTGGAGGTTTGAACCCTCCCAGACTTGCCACAGAAGTAAGACCTAGCCTACTGCTTCTATAGATTACAGCTAAGAAAAGTCTATGCAGCAGCTCTGTAGTCCATAGGATTGCCGAGACTGGGAATGCACCACATGGCAATGGGTTTGGTTTTGGGGTTTTTGTCCTAATCCGCAGGGACTGTGGCAGATTTATGCCCAGCTATAGGTTCCTGTTGCAGGTACCTGGATTCTGCCCACAACTTTTGGACTGACATCTCTGCTGCACCATTTGGTCTTGGATTTCAGATTTGTCCCTAGCTGCCATCCCCTGGATCCTCTAGGCCTCGTGCTCTTCAGCTATGGACTAGCTCAGCCTGGTCTCTGTCCCCTGGACTTCTTATTCTGGGCTGTGCACTTTAACCAGATGAAAAGCTCCATTTGAACGGATTGTGAAAAACGCTTTATGGAATTGGCATTTTAAATGAATAGTGCTTTTGATTTCTTTTCTTTTTTTTTCCCTAACTAATTATACATTATTCAGGGAAACTTTAATATTGCAATATTATAAAATTCTGTCAAATGGAAAAGATAACCCATAATCACAGTATCCTAAAATAACTACTCTTAACATTTCAGTGTACTCCAGCCTTTTTCCTATGTGTATAATTTTGCAGAGTTGTAATCATTGAATATACAATTTTCATCATGTTATTTTTTCACTTATCATTACAAGTACTTTTAATGTTGCTGCATAATCTTCATGTCCATCATTGTTAACAGCTACACAATATTTCACAGAATCCAAGTGCCTTTATTTACTTAACCATCTTGTTATCTTCAAATTAAACTTTATTTTCTTCTTATAATAAAATCTGCACATCTTCATGGTTAGTACTTTTTTTCTTTTTAACTTAATAGATTGAGTTTGAAATGTTTTATTATATTTTTTTCTAATATATAACAAAAATTCCCTTTTTACCTATTTTTAAGTGTACACTTCGTATTAACTACATTCACCATTTTGTGCAAACATCACCACTATCTATTTCCAAAAGTTTTTCTTCACCCCAAATATTAAGCTGGTACTTCTAGTGTGGTGCTATGGGATCAGCACTGGACTGAGAACTACAAGATTGGTCAGTTCAAATCCACCAGCCGCTCCTCGGAAACCCTATACAGGGTCATTATGAATTGGAACCAACTCCACGGCACTTAATAACAACAACAATCCATTGACCAATAGTTCCCAGTTACTTCCTCCCCTAGATCCTAGTAACTGACAATAAATTTTGTTGCCATTCATTTGCTTGTTCTAGATATTGCATACAAGTGGGATCATAAAATATCTGTCCTTTAATGCCTTACTTCACTCAGTATAATATTCTCAAGGGTTATTCATGTCATAGCATGTGTCAGAATCCATGTTCCTTATGAATAGGTGGTGTTCTATTTCACACCTTGAGTTCTTCACATATGAAGAGGTTTCAAAAAGTTCATGGAAAAATGGAATTAAAAGATAATAAACTTTTCCCATGAACTTTTTAAAGCTCCCTTCATAGAGTTAAAATTGCTTGTTAAAGGAATACATTTCTTTTTTTAATATCTTAATAAGTATTTCCACATACCCACTGTCATGGAGTGGATTCCAACTCACAGCAACCATACAGAACAGAGTAGAACAGCTCTCTAGGGTTTTCCAAGGATGTAAATCTTTAAGAGAAGACAGACTCATGCCCCTTCCACAGGGTGGTGGGTGGTTTTGAACTACCAACCTTGTTACCAACCCATCGCCTAGCCCACTTTCCTACCTGGGCTCCATTATTTCAAATAGATTTCTTACAAGTTGCATCTATTTATGCTGCTATCTGTGTGAATGTGGGCCATCCTCTCATGAATAAGATGGATGGACGGAGGTGGGGAGTGGAGGTAGGTGGGGGGATTCTGACACCAAAGCCTTCAGAGAAGTACCCTGGCCCTCATTGAGAGATGGATTTTGTGTTGCTCTGTTTCTTGCAGACTGAGCAGTTGGTAACTCTGTGGGTCCTCTTTGTTTTCACCATTGTTGGAAATGCCATTGTGCTGTTCTCCACATGGAGGAGGAAGAGGAAGTCAAGAATGACCTTCTTTGTGACTCAGCTGGCCATCACAGGTAAGTAGCTGAGAAAGTGGGAGAGAAGGGAACTATGTGACAAATCCCTGTGACTCATTTTCAATTATTTTTCCAATAGAAATGTAATGCCAACACTTCAATGCACAGAAAAATCTGGAGTTCTTTCTACAGGGATATAAAACTTACATTTGAATCTTTCCTCCAGCAAATTGAACACATTGAAATGTCTATTCCATTATATAAATGACTTACTAAAAAACAAACATGGTAATGTTCCACCGGGTACACAGAGTTCTATAGGGCTTCATGCTATATGCAGTGTGTCACACAGTAAGTTCTATGACTCATTAAGGTGATAGATAGCATGCTGTTGCTGTTAAGTGCTATTGAGTCAGTTTCAACCCATAGCGACCCTGTATAGGATTCCCGAGGAGTGCTGGTGAGCTTGAACCGCCAACCTTGCTGTTCAAACTGACCTTGTCGTCCAGTGCATTAACCTACAGCACCACACGAGGTGACAGTATAGCAGCCACATATATCCGGAATGGTGAGTATGAACTTCTTGTTGTTAAGTGCCATCAAG